GGAAGGGGGGGGGGGGGGGGGGGGGGGGACAAATCCTGATATGGAAAAGCTATGATATTCAGATTGTTGGCTAGGCCAGAAACAATATGCTGCTTCCATTTTTCATTAGAGCAGATGGCAAAGTGGTTAGAAAGCTGGCAGATGCAATGGAAAAGTAGAAATGGGAGCAACAGACTGGTGAGCAAAGGGCATGAGGAAAGCTGGCAAATCATCATCTAATGGTATCTCTACCCAGGGTGGAATTCTAATTCCAGAAGAGGACAGGCAGGCCACCGCTATCAGTCACCACTGTCAATCTGCCATAATCTGAACTAGCGCTAGAATCAGAAATATGTGTAGAGAGAATATCTTGAGCACTTGGTCCCATTCACATTCTGTGTATCAAATTACAGAATAAATGAGTATCACATACAGATTGGGAGTATGCAACTGTTCTGAGGCAGTGGTCCGAAGCTTTCTTCCCCCCGCAAAAAAGATCCAAAGGTATGGCCAGTGACGTATTCAGATCACCTGAATGAGCAAAGCCTTAATTTTCAGCCCAGCTGTTAAGGCGAAAGACAGAATGAGTATGTTAGGCTTGCCTTTTAACCCTCCCAATAAAAAAGGGTCCCACAAAAAGATCCCAACAGGATTTGGGAAATAGGAAAGGGCTGCTGGAGAACCTCATGCAGATGTAGCAGATGATAAAAAATACTATTACGTGAACTCTCCAGAAGCATCTAGTGGCCACTGTGAGAAACAAAAAAACTAAACCAGGTCTTGGGCTGATCCAGCAGGGCTATTCTTATGAGCTACAGCTTGCCTAATGCTTCTATTATATTTGCCTTTAAAAAATCACAATCAAGATTACAAGGAGCCTGGAGAACAAGCCCTGGACTGTTCTGCAGGGTTGTCAGAGATCAGTTACTCTGCCCCATGGTTGCAAATGTTCACAATACTGGCTTATGGTGAAGGCATGGCCAAAGCCTCTGTCTTTCAGCCTGGGCTCTGCTTTTTGAAAAATATACATAAAGACTGGTAATCTCAGGATTATGGCTTTGAAATGCCAGGTTATGCCTCCTTGTTAGTACATGGGCTGTTCCTTCTAGGTGAATAGTGTTTATGTTGACAGGCTGCAGTTCTCTAGATTTCCTGGCAGGAAATTCTCTGTATCCAAAGTGGAAGCTACTGGAAATTGAATCTGGAATCTTCTAGACTTCTGGGGAAGCAATGGCAGACTGAAGACAACTCTGCAAAGAGCGGAGCCAATGACCACAGTGGAAAGAGGAGCCAGTGAATGGATTGGCTCCTTGAAACTCCTCTGCAGGTTAAATAGCAATCTTCAGTGAGTTTTAGAGCTCTGGGAGCCGGGGGGTGGGTGGGAATCATCTTGCCTAAGCTGTGGTTCGGCACCTTCAAAAGGACACTGGGCTTGCCCACTTCCTCTCTTAATCACCTTAGGAAATTGCCTGTTATTGATCTTTTTGGATGTTTAAGAATCTTCAGAAGGGC